AACATTTATTTTAACCAAAAAAAAAGTATATTCTCTTTTTAGAAATAGGGGAGACTGAAGTAAGTGATCATTAAACGTAATTATCTGAAATGTTCTACAAGGTTAACAAGATATTATTTTCACGCCAAGCGATGAGTGCCGATCCATGAACTTGCAAACTTTATCATTAATGCCTTTTCGAAACATCTAATATTTCGTCTGGATTTTGCAATGAAAGAAGACAAATGGTCATGATATCCGGTAGAATCACTTATGGGTGACTGACTGAGCGTGAAAAGATCACAGCAGTTACAAATGTAGACTTAGACATGAGCAAAAGACAAGCTCAATAAAGTTAGTCAAAGAGTTTAATTTGAAACTCAAAATTTTCCTTAGGAAGAGCAATCCAATAATCTTCTTAAGGTTGTTTTTCGAAGGCTTCGTCGTCATATGAAATTATACTTTGTTGTGCATAATATGCTATTTTCATAACTGGTGTGAGTTTGCAACAGTTATTCATGACTGTTAGGACAAGTTTAGCTTATCTAAAGCTAGAACTGTCTATGCTTATTTTGAAATTGCCGCAAGAAAAGCAACAGTTTTGTGGAAATGAAAAGCGTTTGTGGTCAAATTTTTTAATATTTAAAAACAGCTCCATTTTCTTTAATGCTGCATTATCTGGGCTCATTAAAATTTGCAAAAAAAAACAAGAACAAGGCAGTGATTTTAATAATTTTCTTGTAGGTGGAAAAATTACCCCAAATCGGCGATTTTTAAGAAAGTTTAACAATTAAAAAAAACTTAAGTTTTTCGTCCCTTCTCAAGCTCAGATAATTCTCCACACCAAGATGACATATACAGTTATAAAATTAATGTTTTACTTCAGTGTAAAGCACTTAAACTGCGGCTTTTTTTTCTATGGCGACAGAGCTCCGAAAAACCGTGTTAATTTACAATTCTCACAAGGAAAAATGAACCACTCTGAATAAATTTTTATCCTTATTTTTCTCAAATACTTCCTGAGTATTCTCCCAGTATACGATCCAGGAGTTCCCTTGTCTTCTGGATTGGGTTCAAAATTACAAGGTTACGGAGTTGAACTTCAGTAGTGGTAAACCCGTGAAATTGGGTCGGCTGTTTAACGACGGTTATAAAATTATAAAATACTTCCTGAGAAATCAAATTTTTGAAAAAAATCGTATTTTTAAAATTCAGTATCTCAGGAGGTCATTGATTTTATTGCTCATTACCATTACTCTCTACTATATTTATGCGTTGACCTGCGTGCTTTTTTTCTTTTATATATCGATTATTAATTTGCTAATTAACTGATTCAATAATGCAATTATTTGTTAATTTATTGATCAAATCTTTCATTTTTTATTTATTTTTTCACTCAGTGATTAATTGGTTTCCTAATATATTGATTTACTAATTCATGAACTAGCTGAGTTCATCAACTGGCTGATATAAATTCATCAGCTGATTCTTTAATTCTCTAATGCACTGGTTTGCTGAAATTTTGATTCACCCATTTATGAATTCGTGAAGTTTTTAATTCGTTTAGTTATTCAGGTCACTGATTCCGTTATTCATTGATTCTTTGATTCCGTTATTCATTGATTCTTTGATTCCGTTATTCATTGATTCTTTGATTAATTTATTCATTGATTCTTTGATTCCGTTATTCATTGATTCTTTGATTAATTTATTCATTGATTCTTCGGTTTTCTTCTTCTTTGATGATGCGTTTATTTGTTCATTCAACGATTCACCAATTCATTTGTTTTAAGTATTCATCGAATATCTCAGTCATTGATTATATGATTAATTCATCAATTTGATTATTCGTATTTATTTTACACCTAGTAACTAATTTTACACGTTATTTAGATACGTACTGGTATACTTAAAATAAGAATGCGTTTTCACTGAATCAATAACCCAATAAATGCACAATGAATAAATTGTAGTAAAAAACAGAAATAAAATTTGAATCCTCGTCTTTCATAATCAATCAATTATGAACGAGAAACTACGAGTCCTTCTAAACAATATGCATTTTTACCAGTAATAACTCGTTATTTATGATAACATATATAACTTATTCAGGTGAAATAATATGGTTTTACTTTTACAGCTGCAAAGGAGCAACAAACGCTGAAAGGGAGGACAAAGGTATTGAGATAAGGGAAGTTCAGATAAAGTTCGTGCAAACCAAAAACTACTGAAAATACTATTTATAATTTCTTACATGTTTTTTAAAGTAACAAAACCCATGCAATTTTATCGACAAAAAAAAAGAAGAAAAAAACTAGCGCTTATTAGATTATCTTTCGAGGCGCATCGGTGTATTCCACAAAAGTTGAAATAGACTGCGCAGATGAGCGGCCATTAATAGTTTACCACAATGTGAAAAAGTTGAATTTGGACAGCAGTGCTTCCTCCATAGAACTATTTTATTTTATAGCCGGCGTTAAACAGCCGACCCAATTCTGAGGCTACGACTATCAACTCCGTAGCCTTGTAATTTTGAACTCAACCCAGAAGACAAGAAAACTCTTGGAGCAAGAATCGGCATTAACTAGCCTTCGTGGAGGAATTTTTGATTGAACTTTCCCGCACTCACTTTACATGGGGAAGAAAACCACGGAAACATCCCTCGGTTAGCCCAACGGCAAGGGTATTCTAATCCATGAATCGTCTACCACCAGGAATGCTTTACGCCAGCACTGTGATCAATGCGGATCGAGAGCCAAATTCGTATCAATCAGCCAACGCTGGGATTCGAAACTGAGTCACCTCATTGGGAGGCGAATGCTCTATTTCCTGAGCCACCACGACTCCACCGCGTCTCATTGAAGCTATGGAAAGAATAAAGAGAAACTGAAATAAAATTGACATTAAAAAACGGAGCCATTGATGGTTAGTGGGAGAACTTCAGCTGAAAGAACCGCAAATGACAGCTTCTCCTTTCATATAAAGATTAGTTAATTGGAGAAAACTGGGTATTTCAGCAAGATGAAGCCACCATTCACGGCGTTCTTGAGATAAAAATGTGTTTTAAGGTTAGCAATGTCAAATTTTAGCAACTAGGAGAAAGTTAAATATTTCCGATTTTCAATGCATGTGTGATAGTTTTTATTTTAAATAAAAATTTGAGTGAAAAGAGTAAAGTATTCTAAAATTTTAAATGAGAATTTCCTTTTCGTTTCAAACTATTCCAACGTTGGTGGTATCGAATTTTGATGTTCAAATGAAAACATTTTAACTTTTCGTATGTCCAAACGTATTTTTGAACTTAGCAACTTACACAAAAGTTTATCACTAATTGTTCAAAATTTTTCCAAAAATTAAAACCGTTTATAATTGCTTTTTTGCAATTGTACAATCGTTAAAAATTTACATAAAATGTGTGCCCTTATTTTTGCAATCTAAGCAATTTTTTTTTGCTTTCATTCTATAATATTTTTTGCTATTCAGTTTTCGATAAACATTTATTGGGGTTTCATTTTTTTTCTTTTAAATGTTGAATGCAAAAGCTTTATTCTGATCAAAATTAATTGAGAGTTCTTCGACATTTTTAAATGAGACTAGACACTTTCAAACATTTTAAACGAAAGTATATGACTTGAAAAATATAAGAATTTAAGCTTATGAACCTTATTATATTAAATAGCAAAGTAGTGGAGTTTCTATTAAGTAAATATCAATTAAACAACAAACAGACTTTTCGGTGTTTAAAATTGTAGAAATTCTGATGAAGAAAGACATACATTTCCAACATTTTACAACATAAGTTGTTCTTTTGCGCAACTTACCACTGTTAGAAACAAGAGAAATTGTTTTCATAGTTTAAAGCTCAATTTGAACACAGACGGAAAAGTAGCATTTTTAAATTAATATTTACATAGTTATATGACACAAACTATTAGTCATTGCAAATAATAACGATCATTTGTATTTTCCTGTAATAAAACTATGTAAGTATTGTCGCTTTGAAAAAGAAATAAAATTTCAATTTTATTTAAACTCTTATTCTTTAGATAATATAAAGATATAAGTTTAATCTCCCTATATATATTATGTGGCATTGTAAACTGGAGTATTTCTCTATATATTGGCAACTTATTGTTATTGTTCACTTTGTTGGGTTATCTATAATAATTTAAGCAGGGTTGAATAGTTAGTTAGGCGTTAAATGATTAGTTAGAATAATTTTGTATTTTTATAGAAATAAAAACTTAGTTACGAAGTAATTATTTCTATTCATTTTCTATCCTTTCTAAAATGGTTATAAAAATTTTAAAATGGCCATTAAAGTTTAAATGTTTTTTGAAAAGTGACCGCACTGTTTTTCAAAAGCGGCTAGTCTTTTATAGAATCAATAATTGTTGAAGTAGTTTTCTCTTTCCTTACTGAAGAAAATATAAATTTTTAATTAATTTGTCATAAGTACTCAGAAATATACATTTTTGTATAAGAGATACATTTTTTTAGTGTGTTCTGTCGATAAAAATACATCAAAGTATTTACAATGCTTTTACAAATAGCCATTTATAACAAATTTATATATTACTATGTCGAATTATAAAAACCAAGACTTATAAGAAAGATTTAAATTATTAAAAAAATAATTTTTTTAAAAAAAACATACATTTTCACAATTACATTACGAAAGTTTTTAAGATAATCTGTTAGGAAGAAACTTGCATAAAGTAGACATGTAAAATTATACCATACAAAAATATTAAACTATTGAATTATAAAATAAAAACTAGTATAAGAAGAAAAGTGCTTAGTTTAATTTGCCTTACAAATACAACCCACAACATTTTCTTTAATAAAAAAGTTTTCTTTTTGTAAAATTAAAAAAAAAGCAATTTAAAAATGTTACAAGCACTGGATAGATTTTAACAGAGAAGTTTAAAAAAAGCGGGGGGGAAAACATAATTATCAATTATCGGTTCATTTTTTAAAAACGATAATGTACTAAAAATATCAAGATGGATGCGGAGAATTTCTTAAGAATCCATTGCTTTATATTTCTTTTTCTTTAAAGATAAAGATATTCTCAAAAACGTGGTACAAGTTAAAAAATTATTAAAAATTGCCAATTTATCTCCTATTGCTAAACATTTTGCTATTTAAAACTTAATAATGTCTTTTTATTTCATTTTTTTTCTTGCAAAGTGACTAAATAGCTATTTATAAAAAGTAAATATAAGCATTTCAACTACTACAGCCATTGATATCTCAGTTGAATCGTACCCATCTCAATTATATGAACATTGAATAATGTATTAAGTACGAATTATTTTCTTAAGCAATGTAGCATATATATTAATTATTCCATATTTTGATAAAAAGGAAGTAAAATTTCACCTTTTACACACAAAAAGATGCAAATGCAATTAGCTGGTTTTGTTTTTAACTGCATTGGATTTTTTTCGTTAAAACTGCATAGGAACCCATTTCAGGTAAAGAGGGTAGGCGGCGATTACTTGCTCTAAATTTACTCTAACATTTCCACCAACTCTATCATTTCAACCAGAAAATAGACTAAAAATATCGTAGTAAAAACAAACTTGAAAGAGAAACCAATTACAGATTTGAAAACAGCGGAATTGTTTAAGATTTCTTAAAAAATCTCATGCAACAGAAAAAAAAATTGTTTCCCAGTGTTATGTTTTTATGTTATTTAAGGAAGAGACTCTTGTGTGTTCTGCAAGGAGACTGCTTTTTGGTATGCTTATATAATATTTGATAATACTCTATAGTGTGATTTGTTAAATTAAGGAACATATAGAATAAAAATTTACATAAAAGAATAATGAATGCAGAGTTGCGGTGAGACTCTAGCCCTTACCTCCACATTTCGGAACTTTCCGCGAAATACAACAGAACTGGTCCTTAATTAGTGAGTTTGGCTACCGAGCTCTACAAAAAATCACAAAATCTGTAGCAAGAGAATTATTATCCCCTCTGCAGAGGATCAAAACTGTGATGTTATGTTTACGGATCATCTTCAGAGATGCTTCCGAGACCGTCGCCAATAGCCCATTGTGCAGTTCCAGTGCGATGTAAATAAACTACTATTATTACTATTGCCCTTAATTTTTAGAGTTTTTCAGCATTGGTATTACAACACGCAAACAATTCCAAACTTTTTAAACTTAACTGAACAATTCTAAAAACGAAATACGTATGAATCATTCCCTCAGACAGATTTTTATGTATTTTATTTTATTGTTACACACATATGCAGATTTGAGCACTAATTGCAAAGTACGGTTTCTAATACTGAGTCAAGTTGAAGAACAGGTAGCACAAGTTAGAGAAGAACATCATAAAGATACATACAGGGAGGATGGAATTCGATCCCGCTACCTCTACGTTATAGAGCTTTTGCGAAAACCTCTCGGCCAGAGTTTTAAGTTATTTCTTTGATGCTGTTTCCGTCATGCAGTGGACTGATCGTTAAGACACGGTTCAGAGCAGATCACCGAAGTCAAGTATCACTGACTGCTGTCAGTGTGCGGGTGGGTAACCACTTGGATTAGTCTGCGTAGGGACCGAGGGTTTGCGGTATGCGTCCTCGTTAAACTGCTCTACCGTAAAGTGCTCGACTTCTCGTGCAGGTCATTGGGCTACCGAACCTTGGGTGCCATCCCCTCTGCAAAGGATCGAAATTGTGATGGCATGTCTTCGGATCATCTTAAAGGATGTTTCCCAGACTGTCACCTATAGCCCATTGTGCAGCTCTAGTGCAACGTAAATGAACTGCAACTACTGATGCAGTTTCCAGTTTTTGTCTATCCTGATTGCATAAAGCGATGTATGTGTAGCCTGATAAATTTTTCCCATCAAATAAAAAAATAAAATAATAATAAAAAAATACTCTACATTACATATTGATTCTATGTATATCTATGTCTGTGAACTTGATCCAAGTTTGATAAAGCGATTGTGTGATATTTAGTTTTCGAGGAAAGAACGTGCTTCCATCACTATCGCAGCTCAAGATTTATATCTCTCGCTGACTCCGTGACAAACTTTATTCATCCATGCAAAAATCTGCAGGATTATAAGTTATAAGCTGACTGAAGAGCATCTGGTAAAAATTACAGTACACCACAAAACAAAGAAAAAATGATTCAACAGTAATATTCAACAATGACAGGAATTGAACCATGTTTCAGACCATTATGTGAAAGGGTAATACCATTGGGTGATAGAAGCCTTTCAACATCTCTTTGAGTGAACCTTAAGCGAAACAGAGATCAGGAGATGAAAGAGTTTTCTCTGAAGTAAATAAACAACTCTGAAAGCTGAGAGCAGCACTGGAGGTAGAGGGTTCGATTCCCGCTGTAACCCTAGATGTATCTTCGTGCTGTCCCTCTCCGTATTGTGCTATCTGCCCTTCTATTTGATAAAGGTTTGTAAGCTTTAATTGAGCACACAAGCCTGCAAATGTATGTCCTACCAATAAATGAATAATTAAATAGACATCAATATTATTGTTGTTGTAGTTCATTTACGTCGTTCTAGAGGGCTATTGGCGACACTCTGGGAAACATCCCTGAGGATGATCCGAAGACATACCATCACAATTTAGGTCCTCTGCAGTGGGGCTGGCACCCCAGCTTCGGTAACCCGAAGACCCTTTAATTGAACACACAAACCTGTTGCAGCAATAAATAAAATTAAAATCAAACAACTCTGAAGTCCAGAGAAAATTTTTAATCCTCAGGCACCCAGATAAATTTCGATGATGATGATGAAGAAAACTTTTAATTGATAGTGCTACCAAGAATACAAATAATTTACAGAATCAAAATTTTGGCCTTTATCTGGAACTTTAGTACAGTATTGTATTTTTGTGTCTCCTATACATTGTTGATCGTGTTATTATTTAGTAAGTCTTTTAATTTTGAAATAGGTATTTAAAGTTATTCAATCTGAAAATAAACATCTTTACTGAATATTACGATCATTTACTGAAGTTAGTATTCACTGTAAATCAATTACTTACAGAATTATTTTTTTCGTTATGACAGGAGTTTGTATATTGTCAAAGTAATCTCAATTAAACTTAATAATAAGCGCAATAAGCCATTGCTGACGAGTGAAATCAATTCTTTCGTTTTTAAATTTAAAATCTCTCATGTTCAAAGTTACGTATAATAAATTCCGAGTTATTGATATTGAAATATGTATTCTGGTTTTAGATTGTTCTAAAATTTCTATAACTTCCATGTAATTAAAATTTACAATGCTTTAATACTTTATAAAATCACTTTTATATAATTATAAATAACTTTTTCGTTAAATATTTATTGGAAATTATATCTTAATTGAATTTTGAATTATTTAAAAATAGCTGTTTTTCACATTCAGATTTAAATGTTCAATTAAAGAAAAGGTGAAGTGTGTAATACATATAAATGAAGCTACACAAATAATTTCGCATTGAAAAGATGAACCTTTTTATAATTATGAACCTATGATGCAGAACCTTCTTTAGACATTGAAGAAGGTTTTTTATTATAGAACAGAAAATAGAGTATATCGATTCATGTGACATTATTTACGCTCTTTTACCGTAGTTTACGTTTATTAGGATTTAAATAATTTGCATGAATTTTTCTAGACAAATGGTTTAATTTTATAGTTCCAAATTTATAGTCAAATTAGCGTTTTTTATTCATATGTATTAAAAGAAATAAACTAAATATAAAATTTATATTTCAAACTATCGTATTGCTTACATATTATTTTTGCGAGAATAATTCCTTCTTTCAACAGTACTATGGAAATATTAAAATTATCTTACAAAAAATTTCATAAATAATTAAGGCAAATAAAAAGATTAGTTATCGCGAATTTGTTTTTATTTTTTTTATCTACATGCATTTATTAGGTTTTTATATTTATAGAAAATTTAAAAAAGCACAATAGTTTTTAGCACAATTCAAAAAGCAGAATTATTTTTTAAAAATATAAAAACAAGGCTAAAACTAAACTACCTTTCGAAAGGTAATTTTGTCAGAATTTCTTAAATACTGTGCGTAAGTTTCTGATTGGGCGACGACCTTCAATTTCCTATGTTTCGAAAGATACTGCCAAATAGAATAATAGAATAAATAATAATTCATATGTATTACAAGAATTAAACTGCAAATAAAATTTATATTTTAAACAATCGCATTGCTTACATATTTTTGCTAGAACAATTCCTTCTTTCAATAGTACTTTGGAAATCTTAAATTATGCTATGAAAAATGTTATAAATAAATAAGGCAATTAACAAGATTAGTTGTAGCAAATTAATTTTTTTTATCTACATGCATTTATTAGATTTTTATATTTAAAGAAAACTTAAAAAAGCACAATTTTTTGTAGCACAATTCAAAAAGCAGGATTATTTTTCAAAAAAGAAAGGTAAAACTGAACCACCTTTCTAAAAATAATTTTCTCAGAAAAGACCCATTGGAATTGTTAAATACTGCGTGCTAATATTTGCAAGTTTCTGATTGGGCGACGACCTTCAATTTCCTATGTTTCGAAAGATACTGCCAAATAGAATAAATGAAAATTATTAATTTATTTGTAAAATATCGATGACTAAAAGCATATTTGATGTCCCTTCTTTGCCTACACCCCTTCAGAGCTTAGGGATGAGGCCTCTTAAGTCATTCCTAACACAAAACTCAAATAAAATTTCCGATTTAGTCTGAAACCACATGATTATCTCTAAATACCCTTCTAAGCTGCGGTCATTGCCAATACTGTTTACATTTTTTTTCAATTCTAATTTCAATTTCTATACCTCTAAAAAAAAACCCGACTATGGTGACAATCAAGCTAATTGTTTCATTCACTGCAGCGGAACTAAATGCTCAATTTCACGACTGGCGAGAAAAACACCCTCACGTGAGAGGGGAGTGGAGAAAGGGGAAGGAGAAACAAACAAACAAAAGTTGAACCTTAAAGATCGCAAATCTGGGATCGAAATTATCAGTTGAGTATTAAGGGATCTGGACGTTAGGAGTGTCATAGTTCTATAAACATTTTCTTTATGGTTTAATGGTGTGAAGTACTTTGAGGAAAATAATTTTATTTTTGAAACTGAATTTATAGGATTACTGTGGTTAAAATGCCTGGGTCAACTTTGAGCGAAAATATATACGAAAATGGAGAAAATAATAATTCTTTAAAAGGTAAGTTGCTTTTTTTAAAATTTTTAACTGTCTTTTTAAATTGTTAAATATCAAGATTGTGATATCAAGATTCATGATGCACATAGCCACAGATAATAAAAGAAAGTGTTTTTTGTGATAAAAGTTGTAAAATTAAATAAAAATAATTAAATTTTTATTATTAAATATCAGGATTGTGTATTTATTCATGATGCGCATAGCCACAGATAATAAAAGAAAGTGTTTTTTTGTGTGATAGAAGTTACAAAATTAAATAAAAAGATTTAAATTTTTATTATTAAATATCAAGATTGTGTATTTATTCATAATGCATATAGCCACAGATAATAAAGGAAAGTGTTGTTATTTTGTGATAGAAGTTATAAAATTAAATAAAAATAATCACATTTTTATTATTAAATATCAAGATTGTGTATTTATTCATGATGCACCACAGATAATAAAAGAAAGTGTTGTTTTTTTCGTGATGGAAGTTATAAAATTAAATAAAAATAATCGAATTTTTATTATTAAATATCAGGATTGTGTATTTATTCATGATGCATATAGTTACAGATAATAAAAGAAAGTTGTTTTTTTTGTGATAGAAGCTATAAAATCAAATAAGAATAATTAAAAGTGTTTTTTTTTGTACCGCACAATAATAGAATCTTCATGTAAAAACCTATTTTGCACTTGATTTGACGATTAGTCTAAGTTCAGCTGCTGTTGAATCTAAACAACATAGAACTAATTTGCAAGATATAACTTACTTTACAAATAATAGAAGAACTAAATTTTGTATTATGTACCATTAACTTTGTTCTTCATATAGAAATGAAAACTTACGTTTCAAATATTAGAAAAGGAACTAAATTTTCTTCTAAGAAGTCTGAATTGTGTATCTTTAATTTAGTTCTTTGTTTAGTTTTCGAGATTTTATGTTCTATTGAATAGGCAAGATAGAAAATGCAAATCAAAAATCTTAAATGATACTGGTTTTACTAAACTAATGATACAGTAGTAAGAATATTCGATTACAGTATGAAATCACATATCAAATTGATCCAAACTTCTGAGTGACATAAATAATTTATACCATCTAAATATTCTTTCGTAGATCTTATATTTTAGTCATAGCTCAAATGACGGGAACATTTTTGAGAAAAATACCGTGAAGAATTTTTAAGAAAAATTCATTGGTTTTGCATTAAAGATTGAGGTTAATGAAAAAAAGAGGGAAAAAAACTACTTGTGTTTCAAAATTCGCGATATGAAAAAGGATATGGAAATTGCGAATGATAAAAAACATATTACTACTAGAAAAGTAAATTTAATTTTATTATTCTCTGAATTGTTCTTAAAGTATTGTTCGTAAAAATAGGAATTTAGGCAGAGTTTAAAGGAAATCAATTGTATTACAGTTCTTTTATTTAACTTGAAAAAATAACTTGTCGTAAAACATAATTGGTTGAAAGACATTCCAAGCTTGTTTCACGATAAGGAAAATCTTTCATTTCTATTGTACATTTTGAGGTCTAAATAATAAAATTCTTAAGTTTTTATCGCCTGAACAATACTTTTCCAGTTTTTCTAAAAGCTTAAAAACTAGGTCATTATAAGAGCAAAATTCCTATTAATTTATTTCTTTATACTGTATTCCTAAATTGTTCAAGAGACGCTAAGTTTATTTTTAATAACTCCTAATTAGAAAAAGAAAATTTCGGCATAAAACAGTATGTTATGTAGTGATCTTTAAAAAAAACATATTGAGCATTTAACCTGTAAAATTTTAAAAATTTTACATGTTGATAATCAAATAAATTAGTGGGGTACAGCGAATTTTTGAAATAATGTAAGCCTTAACAAAATTTTGACGGCGTTTCCTTTTCATTAGTAAACTAATAAATAAAACATCTTGTGTCGAAATACATATTTGGTTTAGACCTAATTTTGTTATTTTTCCAGAAAAAAAATATATCTTAGAGTTTTATTTATTTGATTTAATGTTGTAGATTGCATATCTGATTTCTCTAATTTTCATTTGCAGCTCTTTTACCTTTACCTTCTACCTTTGTTTAAGCTCATTTGCTAATTTTAAATTGTTTCTTAAAAAAATTCTCTTTAAGCCTATATCTTTTTGGGATCTAGAATCAAATTTCTTATTAGGTTTTGAAGCAAGTAAGATAATTACTTGAAGCACCAGGAGTCTTAGCACTTGGATATGTTTCATTATTTTTTTTCCGTTCTGGTTCATAATTTTAATTCTTTCTAACTGACTTAAGTCCAAAATTAGTCCATTTAATTAAAAATTGATGGATTAGTAAGCAACGAACCAGAACTGTTAATTCTTCAGTTTTTTCAACCTTACTATAAAACCTCACCAGATGCTAAATTTCATATTGCGTAGTAACTCACGATTAGTTATTAGCACTTTTAAATAGTTTGGATGTGGAACAGTTGAATGGTCTTGGAAAGTTACACGCTGAGTAGTTTACAGTAAATACGTTGCTCCTAAATCATTCCGGTACGATTCAGAACAATGCTTCTTAGGCGAAAAAAGGTACGGGATATTATATACTAGAAATTTAATTCCTTAGTAGTTCAAACGTAAATGAATCTTTCGAATTTCCCCCACCGCGCAGCTTAGTAACTGGAACGTAGTAACACCTTCCTCATTTTCCTCCATAGTGCAATTTTTGTTCGTTACGTCGAACTTCTAAATTGATCCGTGTTGAGGCTTTCTCTATTTTACGAGGTGTTGTTTAGGACCCCATTCGAGGTACAATTTAGGTAACTGCGTAGAATTTTAAATAAAGTGGTTTTCCGAGTTTCAATTAATATTTAGCTAGCAAAGAAACATGTAAAACACAGTACTAGTGTATTAACTATTACGTAATGCTGATTAGTAATAACTTTAATCCCGGTATATGCTTACCTAGATGTTACAAAAATTACATTTAAAAATTTTGAAACAGATTAGCTTAAATACTAATTTTGCGAGTGTACACAGAAACTTGAGACAAAGGATATAAAATATTTTGCATTCCATATGAAAGAAGTATTTTTATTTCTCCTAGTTACTTATCCCACTAATGCTTCCACTATGCTTCTTTAGAAAGGGACAGGTAGGTTTGTGTCAACTTTACTCTATGGAATGATTCAGTAAATTGTGATCCAAAGAATTCAATCCCTAACAAAAAAATTTATTACCCTTTAAGTCAGAGAGAATTTAAATTGAACTATTTATGCTAAAACCAATGTTCTCAGAGTTTTAAGAAAATTTATAACTTGAACAGACATAAAATGTTTTCATGTAAAGACGTGAAATTTCTTTAATTGCATTAGCTTATTTTATGTCGAACACAAAAAAAACTTCAAGATTTATTTAATTTCGTAATATATTTTTACTAAAATACTTATTAAATTTAAAATTCACTTAAAATCACAAGGGGGGAAATTAATTTTTTTAAATATATATAGGTATATAGGACGTGTATACATCAGTTTTAAAGTTTATCTACACTTTTTATTGTTTTACTAAGCTGAAAGTATGCAATTCATGGTAAGAAGCATATTTGCTGGCTTCAAATTCTATAGATAAGCAAAAACGATGATAATTGGCGATTAAGTAATTTTAAATCCAAAATGTATATGAAATTGATGAAATAATTCCGGAGAAAAAAATTGAATCAAATCGCATTTTTAAATTTTATTTCGTGAAATTAATATGACTGATTATTTTCAAATTTCGAGCTTCTAGAGTGAATTAGGGAGGAAAGAAACTGTGCTTAGTGAGAATTTTAAATATTTTAATATATTTTAAAATTTAATAATATAAAATAATAGATTAAAAAATTAATTTGAGCGGAATTAACAATAAATAGGGACTTAACTTTGAATTAAAAAATATGCTAATCTACTTGATGAGAAAAAATATGCTAAGTAAACCAAAAATTTATTTTAAGGAACTTAAACTTGGGATCACTTAATTGATTTAACTATTGGTACTTTTTTTCTAGAATCAGTTACACTTTTCGTATTTTGAGGGTCAAAGATCTGAATTTGTCAACAAAAAAAATTTTTTGACATACTTGAAAAAGCATTTTAGTTACCGAATTTAAAAATTTAAGGATACTCTGGTTTAATAAATTGCATATTTTTTTAATCTATCTCTAGAGCCATTAGGATTGCATATATCAATACTTACAAAGCTGATCATTAGACCAGAAGTTATATATCGAATCAATTAAAACAAATGAACTGAAAAATCTTTGAAAAAAAGCATTTTAAGGACAACTTTTTCTAATTTTATGAAGGACTTTAAACATTGCGCAAAATCTTTCCAAAACTCCAAGTAGATGCCAAAACTATAGCAATATCGAAACTATTCAAAAACGTTTGTAAAATCTAGCTCAAAATCAAATAAAAATGTTCTGACTAATAAAGACTTCGTTCATTTCTTAGTAATATTTAAACATACCTTCGATTATTCGCGTTTTTTTATAAGGCACGTGATTTGACTAGTTTGAACTTTGTGACTTTGTTTAAGAATATGCTGCATTCGTTTTTGAGTATCTTGATGTGTATCTTGATGTGTTCTTGATGTATTTGACTTACAAATCTTACCTCGATCTGCTAAAAATATTTGCTCAGTAATGTTTCCTAGTCAAAAAAAATTCGTAATATGTGTGAGAAATCTCTTAACCTGCTTAAAGTAAACTGAGAGATAAAAAACAAAAATATTGTGTTGTTAAATGGCGCGTAGATTATACACAATTTCATTAAAAGTCAAGCATCATTAGACTCTCTGATGAATGGAACACTATTCCATAAATTTCACAAACTCTCATGATGTAACTGTTGTCAATAAAAGATGGTTACACGGTAGAAGAAAATAGATAAAAACCGTCTCGCAGGTGTAAACTTTTTATTAAGCTCCATAAATAATTTACAGAATTTCTTCGATCTCTTACATCATAATAAGCTTATTGAAAGAAAGACATTCTAAATCGTTTTCA